GGACGTGGGAAAACAAGTTAGAACCAAAAAAGGGGGTCATGTTAGACACTAGAAACTTAAAAAAGAGCACAAAGCCAACCAGAGGTCCCCGCTTAATCTGTACCATTCCACTGAAAAACCGCCCCCTTTCAAATACACTCTTCTGTCCCGACTTCTGCAGGTGCAACACCATGAGAATCCCAAAGCTAGAGAATGCCGAGATGCTACAAAAATTGTGAATAAATAAAAAACATAAGGATAAACAAAAAGTTTCAGCTTCTACACTCCACGTCCAAAACACAAAGTCACCTCCTGGACCTTACTTACCAAATAGTTAAGAGCTTCCCAGCTTCTCATTGTCAAATGAGGCTGTTGAAGGAAAGATTACGATAGAAACCACTAGAATTGGGTTAAGAACTGTCCGGCACATTATTCAAATTTGGAAGGAGAGTGGGGAAACCTCCTCATCGGCAGAAGAAATGTAGTCAAAAAAATCTTGAGTGATCATAATCAAAGGGTGTGAATTGTGTTTCATTGAGAAAGTAGGAAAATTTCCACCCACAAAATGTGAAGCGAACTGAAGGGATTGGACCTAAACAGCTGCGAGCAAAAACCACTAATCAGCGAAGCCAATCAGAGAAAAAGGCTTTACCTAGCAAGAGAGCATGAAGACTGGACTCAATGGAAGAAGGAGATGTGGTCAGATGATTTCAGATTTACCCTGTTCCGAGTAATGGGAGCATCAGGGGAAAAAAAGTGCCGGATTTACATTTGATGCTTTTATCCAAAGCCACTTACAAAAAGAGGTTGTAGATTGTGATTGTAAGGTAGTTCCACCAGCGTAGAACTGCAGATTTAAAGAGTCTAGATTGACTTGTGGGCCGTGTTAGCTGGCGCTCTTTGGAGGTGGGCGGGCTGTGACATGGGGCTTTGAGAGGGTGTTAAGGTAGATGGGTGGAGATCCATCAAACAATGATGATGGAGGATGTGATGCCCACCACATGGTCCACACGGATGGGGGGACGTGTCATGATGTGGATTTGCTGGGGTAGGTCAGCTCCCTCCATCAATACGCTGAATGGGGCATGGGCATTTTCTAGGATGACTCATTGGTAAGGTAGGGGAGCATGAGGCTTCAGTTTCTCTCATGGATCAGCCACCAGAGACCAGACCTTCAACCCCATCCAGGATCACTGGGACCTTACTGGAGGAGACTCGGGCTCTCCCATCATCACTGAAAGATCCAGAAATGACTCCAACTCTGGACGGAGACAAATGCTGTGGCATCACTGAGGATCATCGACACATCCCAGTGTCGGCTGCTATCAGGGCTGAAGAGGGTCCAAAAAACTATTACGAGTGAGTGACTTTTTTTTTGGTACGAGCTTTGTAATTTATGCGATCCAAGTAATTTCAAAGTGAGGAGCAAATCAAGAGGCAAATATGAGTCTCAGTATTAAAAAAATACATGGGTTAGAGAATAAAACATTCACTACAATTCCTGTACTTCCTGAGCTATTATATCCAATTCAGGTTTTTCTCTCTTTAACATTGTTTCATTTTAAATTTAAGCATCCCTATTTTTAACCAAAGCATTTACCAATATGTAGTGTCACTTTTTATTCCCTAGAGAACTTACTGGCACCAAGGATACCAAAAAATTAACTATTTTCAGGTATGTTTCCTCTCACAAACACACCTCAGGACAAGCAGGGAAAATGACAAAGGTAAGGTCAAGTTCTTTTTGTCAACTCCATCTAAGAAGTAGCAAATTATGAAGACACTTGTATATCTTTGCAACTGTTACGAGTTTTGAAAATGGAAATAGCATCAATCTATTTAAACTGTAAGAGTCGCCAGCCAAAAGAAACTTTCTTTCTTGCATCAACAGAGAGCAGTAACTTAAAGTCAAATGTTCTGATGCCAGACTGACGAATGAATCAAAGAACAGATCCTTTTGAATCCATTTGTCTATCTGTTGTTTGAGCTTGTTTACCATCTTACACTTAAAGCAGGCCCTCACATGACACCACTGCAGTTTTTTCCCATCCCTGCATTTGATTTGAGATGCATCACTCCCAGGGAGCAACTAGATGAGCACCGAAAGGACGCCGTGAGACTAAAGCTTCAAATAAGCAGCGACGGCACAGACAACGGGATCATTTGTCTGTCGAGCAGTAATTCCAATCATACCGAGAGATGAAAACTACTGGCAGAACACAAACAGACATGCCAACGCTCTTCATGAATAATTTAAACGTCTTCCGTCTGATATTGCGAAAAAAAATATCAGCAAAGTAGAAGAAAAAAATAGCACAAGTGATCCATAAATCATCAAAAACAATAAATACTATTGCTTGGAAGGAAAAAAAAGAAAGGACTGGGGACTGAAATTAATCTTTCTGGCATGTTATTAAGTATGGGGGGTAAAAAGGAAAAGGAAAAAAATAATAATTTCACAAAGTCGCTATGGCATACCGTTTTTTTTTGCTAACACTGAAACACTCGTTATCTGTTCAGTTAGCAGCATCTGGACATGAGTTAGTGAAGTTATGACAAGGAAAATCAAATTCATCACAGTTAACCTAGAAGAGAGTGATCATTTAGTGATCTGGCAACGTAACAAAATAAGTGACATTTCAATGGAAAATATCAAGTATGACTATTTTGAACAGGGATTAGGCTGTTCTAGTCCACAAGTTCCATCTAGTTTTCTAACTATCACTAGTGTTATTGAGCAGTTGGTTAAGCACTGTAGTATATATTTGGAAATATATGTCCTAGTTTTAGGGCACTTTTGAATGTTGAAGAATAGTTATTTAATATTCTATTCAAAATTTTAAGGCCTGGTCTGGAATCAGGACCCAGAGAGACAGTCAAAGCCTGAATGATAAAAGAAAATAAAAAAATAAAAAAACAACTACAAAGCATTATCGTCAAACTAGCAAACCATATCCTCTAACTGTGTACCCATAGACTGGCCAGTGCTGCATTCTGCAACTGGAAACTAGAATTTGCACAGTTAAAAGCTAACAAAAAAGAACATTTGGAAAAACGAAAAAGAAAATTTGGAGAAATTAAAGTTTGGACGCAGATGCATATCTATGCTCAGTGGATTGGTGGGTCAATAGACTGCATAGTTTGCACACGGTGTGAGCAACGCATTTTGGAACTGACTCAGCGGACTGAAGTTGTTACAGTCGGTGAATATTTGGATGATGCATGTTAGCCTCTATTCCTACAGGTGAACATGCTAAACTAGATAGCTCATGTGTTTCATCTGGATACATGATCGTTATTCATTGGCTTTATGTTTTGCCAAATGTAAAAGTCGACCCTTACAGAATATCTTAAAAATGTTTGCAAAACTTGTGGCTTTTCAAATTCATGCTACTTTTCTTATACTATCCCCACATGGGGATGTTCACCTCTGATGGCAGCAGCCTCTTTTTAGCTGGATCATTTGTCGTATTCACGCAGCCGGAATTTCTTAAAATTGTGTGATTTTGGTCTTGGAATATTGACTGGCTCTGTAGCACTGAATCCAACCGAGCATCTCTGAGACGTCCGACCCCACTTCACAACTACGGGCATGTGATGGATGCGTTTCAGACAGCATGACGCCACACGTCCCCGCACATCCGCTAGGCTCAAATGGAGTTTGTGCCTTTACAGGTCAGGTTTGTTTTTTGCAGGAGAAAAAAGGGGCCTCTCCATTTTTGCATGTCATGACTGATCGTTGCACAGCTACACACAGTCAAGCCCTCATGAGAAGCGGATTCAATTCAAAATTGCCTTTTTTTTTTCTTTCATCTTGGTGCTTCTGGGAGAAAAATACTGCAGAAATTTAGAGTTA